ATCAATGATCAGGTGGGACATAAACACACATTTGTTTAGCGCTCATGACTTGGTTTGCTCTTTGATGCTTTAGGGATCCAGCAAGAGATGTCAGTCAACCTGATCAGAGCATAAAACCAGGATCCAAATGTGGTATCAGTTTCTGCTCAGTAATTAGCTAAGTGCTGGAACCTAATCAGTCGTGGGCAAACGTTTGACTCAGAATTGAGGATAATGACGCATCCCTTGTTGTATGTATCTGTTAGCAAGGCAACTTACATTCTGACTTCCTCTCTCATGAAGCAGCGGTTTCTCAGTAGCCCCGCCCACAGCTGAACTCCGACAATCCCGAAGATGAAGAAGACAAAGAAGCACAGTGCCAGCACGTTGCCCAGCATTGGAAGTGTGTCCAGCAGGAGGGTCACCAGGATGCGCATGCCTACCAAAACAAACTACGTAAACACCGAGGTCCCATAACTGGCAAAGACATTTACGTAAACAGAGTTACAAAAGACCTGACAGAAAAGTTCACTTTTGGTAACACTTTACAATAAGGGTCCCTTTAATAATGTTACTTAGTGCAATATTAAGCATTAAAAAACTATAAAATTAAATATTAACAACTGCTTCATAATTTTAAGTAATGTATTCGTAAGCAGACACCCCCAGGGCCTGTGTCCTAACCTTAAGGGCTCTTAACTGTTAACAATACAGAGAACATTAATAAAGGGACTCTTTGTTTGTTAATGCTTAATAATGCACCAAGTAAAATTAAAGTCCCATAGTCACCATTACACACTGGAGAACTTCATCTCTGCATTTGACCCATCCTCTAGTGGGCCATTCCCATCTGTACCGGGTCGGCCCGGGCCGGGTAGCCCCAGTCAGCCCCAGCCTGGCCCGGTTGATTCCACACATCCTTGTCTTAAGCCCATGTGGGCTGATTCTATCCACCAATCAGAGGCTTGCTCTAATGGAAGGTGTGAATTTGCTGTCAGCAGTGGGTGTGTTGGCCCTGGTTGGCCTGAAGCAGACCCCCTCGAGAAGAGGGCTGAGAATGAGCCTTGGTTGGCCCGGAAAAATACCAGGCTACCCAGATATGTAAACAACCTACGCTACCCGGCCCGGGCCGACCCGGTACAGATGGGAATGGCCCAATGGGGAGCAGTGAGCTGCAGCAGTGGCTGTGCTCAGGAACTCTTTGGTGGTTTAACCCCCCAATCCAACCCAGAGCTGAGTGTCAAGCAGAGAGGCATTGGATCCCATTTGGTATGACTCGACCGGTTTTGAACCTCGATCTCACAGTCCCAGGGTGGACAATCTACCGCTAGGCCACTGAGATGGTGACTTTAATAAAAGGACCCTGTGTTTATAAATTCTTAATAATGTACTAAGTAACGTTAATAAAATGACCCTTTGTTTATTAATGCTTTATAATGCAATAAGTAACATTAATAAAAATGACCCTTTGTTTACTATTATAATGCACTAAGTAACTTAATAAAAGGGCCCTTTGTTTACTAATGCTTTATAATGTACTGAGGTTAATAAAATGACCCTTTGTTTACTAATGCTTTATAATGCACTAAGTAACTTAATAAAAGGGCCCTTTGTTTATTAATGCTTTATAATGCACTAAGTAATGTTAATAAAAGTATTCCTTGTTTAATAATGTTTAATAATGCACTAAGTAATGTTAATAAAGGGACTCTTATTGTAAAGTTTTGCCGACATTTGTGTATGATTTGCACAAAACTTAAGTGGAAAAATTGTCAAATGGGAAATTAATGGATTTTATATTTGCTCTCTAATCCAGTTTCTCAAATAGAAAATATTATTTTTCTGGCTACTTTAAACACACCTGTAAATTTTACAAGGAGCCAGTATGAATTGTGGCAAGGCCAGAGTGCAGTAAAGAAAAACACAAAGTTGGCTGCAGAGCCTGTGTGCTGAGCTGTAGAGAACGACGCAGGCATCACAATGATTCCATGACTTTGGTTAGTGTGCCCTCATTCATGCACATATGCATCCATCAAAAGGAGAGCAGCAGTTGTAAGCAGATGTGTGACTTCTATTTCCAGTTAAAGAAATGAAGCACAGTTTACAGTTTGGTCAGAGAGGATAAGGACACTTTGCACATTTTTCATTGTCTCGGCTGTGAGAAAGTAAGGTTGCTGGCTTTCAGCTGAGGACATGTCTACATCCGATGAGCAGTGCAGAATGTGCAGCCATTTCTGCAAGTAGTCCAATTAACGGGGAGTGAAAGTTGACACGTTTTTATAAACTTAAGCTGGTCCTGCTTGGTCATTGAATTTAATGTTTTGTTCAGTAAATGGCTTCCTACAATGCGAAGGCATCATCGGACTGTTGCTGTCTCTTCTGCTGATGCTTCTGCCAGGTCTGTACTGCAGCCGTTCTCTCTTTCTGTGTTTCTGGGCGTTCTTGCCGTCAGCTTGTTCTTTAGCAAGTCAAACACAATTTCTTCTTCTTTGTCTCTTATCCCTCCTTGCTTTACTTGTTTTTTTTTTTACTGGGTTATGTACATGTATCACGTTTCACGAATGTGCCATTGTAGGATTATAAAAGTGTTATTTTTGTTAATTAGATCTTTTATAAGAGGTGTAATTATAACTTCAAAAGTCAATAAAAGCTGTAGTTTCACATTGTCTCATATTTTATTATAGCCTACTAATAATTTCATACTGCAGACCATATTGCATTGTTTTGTATGGGTTTGCATTGTTCTGCATTACACGTTGTTGTAGCTTATAAATGTGATCACATTGTATCGTATCATATATGTCATTTTGTATTGGCTTGTATTACATTGTTTCAGACTGCATCCTGTCATTTTGTAAATTTGCAGTCAGCTCATTGGCTTGTTTAACTGACACTTTCATAAAATTAGAACATAGCCAACTATTTCCTTTACCTCATATTGCTTGGTCATTATTTCAGTAAGATAAAACTATCAATATATTTCTGAAACCAATAAACATTTTAAACAATATAATTTAATTATTATTTTATTTCAAGACTCTAGTCTCTAGTTTAAATGAATGCCTTGTGAGTGGATCTCTGTGGGAAAAAGCTCTGGCGCTCCAGTTTCAGGAAGTTGAGGTTAATAAGAGCAGAACATGACAGGATTTGGAGTCTTGTTTCCTGGTATTTGGACGGCTTGCCTCTGATTGGCTAACTGCAACGTGACTCCACCCCTGACTCCATTTGCTTTGCAATGCTGATGTTTTATCTCCACAAATAATACAAGCCTGGAGGAGTTATGCTGTGTTGTGGAGTTGCTAATGCTAACAGTTAGCTTCTAACAGCACAGACGCACTCTGCTCTCTCCTGGATACTAAATCAACAACAGCCATCCCCGTCGTGAAAGAAGATGGGTGAGTCCATGAATGTTTATTTAGACTACATGAGATTTTACTACAGCGAGATTTTACAACTCTGTTGCTGTGAAGCTCGCACACAAGAATTTCACTCGCATGTACTGTACTAGTGTACCTGCACATGTGACGTGACAATAAAAGTGATTTGATTTGATTTTGATTTGATTTGACGTGCTAATGTCACTGGTCTTTCTGATCCGAGTGCTTTTCCATTTATTTTCAATCAGAAGCTAATGCAGGAAATAGGGGTAGAAGATTCAGCCTGCATCATATTTCAAAGATAACAAGTGAAAAAAACATTTTCTCAGTTAGTGTGGTTTTTAAAGTTTTAATCTTAGTTTATGTGTTTTTCAGCTCAATTTTAGAGCTTTGATTGGCCACGGCGGTAAAGTCCAAGACTACTGCTTGGTCTTTGTTTGAAGAGTGTCAAAGTGGCCTCTGGGCAGACACTGTGAAAATGTGTGTTGGAGTGATGAGGCTAAAATCCTGGACTACAGACATGGAGCTTCAGGCAGGTCAGATGCTGCAACCTCTAAAGGAGAATGGATTTTGTGGGGTGTTGAAGCTTGGCACGTAAATGTCAATGACAAAATGAAAAATATGTCAACAAACCTTTTAAATTTAAAAATAAGGTCAGCGTGTAAAGCTTTTGATTTGAAATATCAACAAAATAAAAATCACCCAGAATTAGCATGTTGGAGAAAAAATACATAAAACAACTCACTGGGAACTCTGTTGATGGCTCGTAGTGGGCGAAGGACTCGAACTGTCCGAATAGCCGATAGGCTGACGTTGTGCCCATCCAAAGAGTACTCCAACATTCTGCAGTTAGAGAGAGAGAGAGACACTAAGACATCTTTAGCTTCCTGATCAGCCTGACCTTGGCAAACTCTGTGGGTCTACTGGGAATGCATTCTCATGGATAAACAGCCTTTTAAGTACAAATCGCTGAGGTCTGTGTCTCTCAGGACTGAGTTATGTGATTGTCATTCTATGAAACCCACACACACACACACAAACTCATGTACGCACACAAACACACACACACACCTTTGTCTGTGCATCTCTGCACGCGCAAACACACGCTTGACATTTAACTGACATTAAACAAGTGTCTAAGCTTTACACAAAACACACACACACACACACACATACACACTTTTGGCTTGTATTTAATGTCAGAGGAGTATATGTGCATGTGGATGTGCGTCTGTACAACACTCACCCAACAATAACAATGAAGAAGTCCAATCTGTTCCATGTGTCGCCTAGGTAACCTTTCTGACCTACAACCCCAAGAGCCACCATCTTCACCAACATTTCTCCAGCGAAGAACACAAAGATGCCATCATCCAGAGCCTGCACACACACACACACACACACACACACACACATGCACACACACACACACACACACACACACACACACACACACGCACACACACACACACACACACACACACACACACACATGCACACACACACACACACACACACACACACACATGCACACACACACACACACACACACACACACACACACACACACACACACACACATACACAGGGGATTACTATGAACTCATCTAGTGGAAGGAAAATCAAAATAAAAAATTTTCAGAGCCTTGAGAATAAAGTGAGAGTTGAATATAATTAGATTTTAAGGTCAGCATGCATGTGTGTGTGTGTGTGTGTGTGTGTGTGTGTGTGTGTGTGTGTGTGTGTGTGTGTGTGTGTGTGTGTGTGTGTGTGTGTGTGTGTGTGTGCGTGCGTGCGTGTGTTACCTGCAGCAGGTAGGGGGTGTGGCCACAAGGTTGGAACATTCCCAGAGTCACACAGTTCAGCAGGATGGCCAAAATGCTCACTCGCTCAAACCAAGTGATACAAGGTTAAGGGCCAGCATCAAAGCAGAGTTTGAACATTGATCATAATAGAAAATAAAATTCACATAATTTAGCAACGTGCTTCTCAAAATGAAATAAAAACATCACAGCTACAACCTGAACCACCATAAAAGTCCACTAAATGCTAGTCCAACTTAACAAATCAAAAAAATCCTTTATACATTTATATAGTTTATATATTTGAGTAAACCATAATCAGTATCCCACCTGCAGCAGATGACAGTCAGAGGGATCTTGATGAGGAGAATCAGGGAGAAACTATCCTAGAGCAGTGGTTCTCAAACTTTTTCACAAGGAACCCCTTTTTTACCAGAAAAAATGTTGACGACCCCCTCCCATTCTCTCTTCAAGTACAAACAGTATTAAGAAATGATAAAATTGTTCAAGCAAATTTTAATATGCTTTGATTCAATAGATAACAGTAATAGTAGGCTCCAGTACAGAACAAAGTCATTAACAAAACCAAACAGAGCATAATGTGCTTAACAGTTTGTATTACTTCTCTGAACACATTGTTTCTTGTAAACACTGATAAATCAATCATTCCAGTCAATAAACGTTTGACACATAAAAAATACACTGAGCAAAATGTACTTAAATGTGTATATTACTGTTTATACTAGATTATTTACTGTAAAGGCTGTGATTAATCAACCAGTCCTATCTTAAATGAACTTTTGACACTTGAAAATAAAACAGTGAGCTGAGCAAAATGTTCTTAAAAGTGTGTTACTTTTTCTGTACTAATTATTTCCTGTCTTAATATCTGTAAACTTTTCACTCATGAAAAAAATGTGAGCAAAATGTAGGCTATAAACAAGTAATAAATGAAGTTTTAACCCCTTAAAGTGGCGACCCACATAGAAGCTTTGGCGCCCCCTTGTGGGGGTTGGGACCCCCAGGTTAGGAACCACTATCCTATAGCATCAGATCAGGGCTTATTTCAGAAGATTTCAGTCATCTAAAACAGAAGCATCCAATCCTGGTCCTTGAGAACCTCCATCCTGTATTGTTTTGAGGTTTTTCTGCTTCCACACACCTGATAGTATTCAGTAGATGATTAACAAGTCTCTGTAGCACTTGCTGACATGTCTAACAGGTAACGGAGCAGGGAAACAACTAAAACGTGATGGATGGGGGCCCTCGAGGACCAGAGTGTGACACCACTGATCTAAAACAATCTAAACCATAAAAGCAGTTTGAGAAACATGCTTTTACCACACTTTTAACTTTTGCATTAGATAGTTATCTATTCTGATGTTATTCACTAATTTTACTAAAGACTGAGCTTGTTTGCAAATTTGCAACAACATGTGAAACAAATCTGGGCAATAATTTGTTACAAAAATATGTGGGATGGAAAAAGAAAAAAATGCCTGATTGACTATTAGCTAATTATTTAATTAATCTGCTCTAGTTTCTAGTATAAATAAAGCTTTGTGAGTTGTTGTCTGAGGGGAAAAAGCTTCGGTGTTCCCGTTTGAGGAAGTAGAAGTTCGCCGGAGGAATTTGGGTGGAAAAAAGCGAGATTTGAAGTTTTACTCATTAACATTCATGACATTTAAACATCTCGTCTCTGATTGGCTAACAGGAACAAAACTCTTCTGCTGCCTTCATTTACTCTGGCAACGTTAATGTTTCATCTCCACAAATAACACAAGCCTGAAGGAGTTCCACCATGTTGTGGGGTTGCTAATGCTAACGGTTAGCTTCTACCAGCACAGACGTGCTCTGCTCTCTCCTGGCAGCTAAAACAACAACAGCCTTTCTCATTTATTTTGTTCTGCAGCTAAAGCAGGCAACATGGGTTGAAGACTACTTTCAGATTCTGCATGCATGAGAAACATGGAACCGATCAAATGTCAAAAAGAACAAGTGCTATATGCTTCCCACTGAACCTCCTCTTTAAGGTTTGCTTTAGATGGCTGAAATCTGCCCTGCTGCAGATAATTTCTGTCTCATTACCCATTCATATGGAAAACTGTGTGTACTGCACTCGAACCAAGGGCAGATCCCAGAGGAAGGGCGAAGGGGACTCATGTACAAACTGCAATGATCAGGAGAAATAAATGTGCATTTATGTAAGCAGCTGTTTAATGTGTAATCAGCTACAACATGGAAGTACTGTTGTATTTGTTAGGTTTAGACATTAGGTTTATTGATGAGAAAGAAGAAAGAGCTGCTCTAAATGTATAACTGATTTACACTTCCTCGTTCTTCACACTGAGCCTAGAAGGCCCTGCTCTGTTTTGCTCTGCTCAAAGCCAAACCAGAAGTCTCTGACACAGAAATAATCTGCATGAGATAGTCCTCAAGGTCTCATGCATCTGCTTATAAACTGTTTCCTTTCCAGCTCAAGAGAAGACTGATGACAAAACTTAAGTTTATAAACTCTATTTATAATAAAGCTAATCAAACAAAGTGTTAGTCCAGTAATAAAATGTGAACCAATCTGTGATATGACAATGTTATCATTAGTAGATTTTAATAAGTAATATAACTTTAAACGTTTCCACTAGAGACTGATCCAATGTGAAGTCACATGACACATTTTCTTTTTCTGATCCAATCAGAATCTTCCAGATCTGACGGAGGCGTGGTTTTGTTGGTGCTTGGTAAATCTGTCCTTTTTTGATTCGACCGTAAATCAAAACATCCAAATTATAAAACTATGCCCACGTCACCTTAACTTCAGTTCAAAGCTTCCTAGAGAAGTTGTCGGAGTGGCCAATCCGTAACTTTCCTCTTCAGCCGAAAAAACCAACGACAAGCTGGATAAATGTGTTGCAAGTTCCACCTGCTGCAACGGTTCCTTTCAGAATAAAAGCTGAATCATCACGACCCCTTTTTGGGTCTCGCTAGATACTGTCGTGACCCGGAAGTATCTCAAGACTGGTCTGGTCGGCAACCGCTGCTTTTTCTACCCGCTTCGATTCCAGAGAAGGTCAAGCTGGACCTCGACATTCCTGATCTGATGGGGACTTCCGCAAAAGGTACGTAGACCGGCAGAATGGCGTCTCAGTGTGTGTTATAAATCTCCAAACCAAAAGTTTAGCGCGAAACATCACCTTCACTCCCATCAGAACTTATCGTTTCTCCGGATTTGCTGGTTCTGAACATTCCACACTACACCATTCTCCGTCTCACTTCACCTTAGTTACACCATACATTTAGTGTTTAAAGTTAGTCTAGTTTTAATTTGTTTAGTAATAAATCTTTAAACTTTTAAAGCTTGACTCTTTCTTTTGTCTCTGAGTTAATACGAACTGGTTACATAATCCCTGCGATAAAACGTTCCGATCTTCTGGTTTAAGTTATCCAAAGATCCATAAGATTGATTTCATATTTCCTATGGAATCTCACATCTTACGGTTCATTCAATAATATGTCAATTTAATCGTTACACAGGCAAAACATGAACTACTGACGACTACTCCGCAGAACCCCACTCCTCACTTTAACTACAATCTATAGCACCTATGCATTTAGTTTTCTATCCATGCATCTGAGACAAACCAAAATACTTTACTGTGTTGAACCTCATTAACATATAAATGTTAAATTCTGACTTTAATGGCTAGAGTTTTATCCTCTCCAGTATGTTAGGTGATTTTCCACGTATTCTCCCTCAATACACATCAGCTTATTTGAGATCCTCAAGTGCACAGATGGAATTTGTGCACGAGTATGGTTTGTACATCTGTCCCCAAGTGGCTGTGAATTTTCATATTCATCAAACCGTTCAGTGACCCCTCCTGCCCTGTGAAGATTCATCTGCATTTATTATCTCTCTATAGTTTTCTCTTCCCTTTCTTTCTGTCTGTCACCTTTCAGAATCACAGCCAGTGGTAACGACTGCAGTAACTCAGAGGAAGCCCCGAGGAGACGGAGATGTCAGTGTTAAAGGTCTTTGTTGGATCACACAAAAATATTGGTGTAGATGACGTTTTCAGGACTTCTTCGCCTGACGGCCTAAAATCTGATTTACAAGACACTGTAAAACTTCTATAGGTGCAGTAAATTGTAAGAGAAAGGCTGACATGTGTTATTTTTCATTTATAAAGTCAATGAAATGTTACATAATGACGTGTAAAGAAAGCAGATGGTTCATTTGAAAGAAGCATGAGACTTTGAAGTCAGCTTGAGAGTGAAAGTGTGCAGTGTTTGGGCAGCTGAGTTACTTACTGGCTGTCAGAGTGAAGGACAGAGCGTGAAGTGAAAAGTAGCGAGGTTTAAAAAGGGAAAACAGTCTGAGGTAGAGCGTTAAATGGAACATTGTGTTGGATCTGAGCACACACGAGCACATGTAACCACACACACAAATGAATGGATGACAGGAATGTATTCAAGAAGCAAGGACGCATACGTAACAAAGCCTGGAGCAGCCACATGGACACATCTACACGTGTGAACACACACGTGGCCACACACACACACACACAGAGTCCCCTTCCCGGACACTTTGCTCTCAAGAGGGCAGAAAAATTAATGAGAGTACAATCCTTTATCACCCTTGAGACAGAGAGGGAAACGAGAGAGACGAGGGAAAGAGCGAGGGTAATCCAGTGTCCTCCCTGTGCTACCGTTGCCATGGGAACCCCCATCTCACCGTGGGAACTGACTTCTGAGTTTCACAATCCGCTTGCATCCTGTCTGGACTGGAACACAACACAATTAATGCAAACTAAACACATGAGCACAGGCCGCGTGGTGTTTCAT